CTCTCCATTCTCTGTCAGTTTTCTCACTCCATTTGGTGCTTGGCTGAGTTGTTTATCTCTTCATTTGATGTTTTAGGGTATCAGGATTGTTGTTTTCTCTGTGTGGCTTAGTTTTTCGGATCTTTGCTGTGGAGGGACGGCGTGGTGCTTTTGCCTAGAGCAGCATTTTGCTGGAAGTTACTCAATTTCTTAATGAAAACTGGTACTCATTCAACAGAGCTGTGTTTTCTATTTGCTGTGCCTTAGCTCCCCTTGGATGGGGAACTTCTTGAGGGCAGACTACGTCTTACTTATCTTCTAACTGTAGGAACACTTAATATGTTGCTGTTGACATGATGGTTATCTTATAAATATTTGATAAATTCTTACATTCAGTGACATATAAATAGTATGTATGGGGTTTGCTTGGTCAATAACATCAAGGATTAATTACCAGTGGTAACACATTGTGCAACATAACTGTGGCAAAGTGAAAAAATCTTATTCAAAGATGCCAAGGGTCAAAGCCACCATTTTGACTTTAAAGATAGGGTGGGAAGAGATAATTATGGTTAGATTTTTCCCATGTAATAATGTGGCTTTAAAGCACTTGGCACAGTGCTCAGAGTCCATGCTAATCAATGGCACTGCACGTATTGTCAATGTTACTATACTGGATTGTACAGTTTAGCTAAAAACAGAATCTGAGAGGACAAAATAGGGAATATTTAAGTCCTTGCCTCATTGCTCTTGGTCTCTAGCAGCTTTGCTCTAATAGAAAGCAACACTCCCCACCACCGCCTCCAGTTGGTGATGCCTTCTTGGTGACAACTGGAAAATATGGCGACAACATTTGTGGTCTGAGGCCTTCTCCACTACTGCAAAATGATATCTATTTTAAGATAACTATAGCATCCATACTTATGGAATACTTAATTGTCTTTGAAAACGAGTGTGGTGTTTTACTTGTGTTAAAACAGAACATATTTTAGAAAATACCTCATTTACAAGGGCCAACCCCAGTTCTCCCATCAAGTCACCACATTTGTTTATGACTCCTCTCCCTAAAGACATCTTCTCTTTAGTCAAGCTAGTCCTGCCATTCAATAGTTAGTGCATATCAGGTGCTAACAATAAAGGATACAGTGATGAACAAGACCTGGCTTAGCGCTGGGAAAACACAGCTGAATTTTCAGCTCATTAGTCATTAGTAATTAAGCCTTAGGCCCTTACCATCCATTAGCGAAGCTAGTTTGGTGCAGCTGTCACTGTCTCCTCTTTTTTTTTTTTGGTTTCAATTGTTGGTTTTCTTTTTCTGACTGTCATTTCCTGGCCTGATTCCTTTTTTT